ACCATCAGCCAGAGGCGCCTTAAGGACACATGGTTGGGACTTCCTGTGGTGTCCTGGGTGGGATGTCGGAACATAAAGAGGATATTAGAATTAATAAAACTCAAATAAAGTGCGGAGTTTAGCATAAGTGCATCAGTATGCTTCCTTAAATGTACAAATGACTGTAGTCATGTGAGATGTTAGCAGCTTGGAAATGATGTGGGCTATATAGAAACTACTTTTACCTTTGCAACTCTTCTGTAAATCTAACAGTATTTATAAACATGCTATTCTAAAAAATAGCCCTCAGAAAAGTTACAGGTTAGAAGGGAAAAACGAGGCTTCAATTTTCCCAAATATTGCTATCAAGGGACTGGAGAGAGGGGTCCTGGGGAGAAAAGCTGGAAACCTCACACCCAGGGCAGGCTCCGGAGTCTCCTCTCCTCTGAGCCCTGCTGCTCTGGCTCCTCACAGAGCATCTCACCCCAGGACGCCGCCCCCCAGGACCCCCAACTCTGCCCACCTCAGCCCCCGCCCGTCCTGGCGGCTCCACCAGAATCCGGAACAGCGCGGCAGCGCCCCCGTGTGGCCACAGGGCTGAGCACAGGAGACCAGAGCTGCCCTTTCTCCTGCTCAGCCAGGCCCTCCCCGGGCTCCCTGGGCCCCCAGCGGCAGGACAGGTCCACTGTCAGGTTAGGGGTCCTTAAACTTCCTCCCAAGTGAGTGAGTATGTGTACAGGCCTCAGGGAAGAGCCAGGTGTCCAGGTCGTAACAGCTGCCTCCCAGGTTCTGGGCGGGTCCCCCAAGTATACAGTTTCCCTCAATCTCTTTGGATGGAACATTGGACTCCAGAGTTGCTGTTACTTGCTCCTGCCTCCAGGGATGAAGTGCTTCCTCCTGGGAGTCAACTCTAAATTCACCATCCCTAGGGTGAGGAGAGGGGCCGAATAATAGAATCTTAGGTTTTATTCTCGACTTTGAGTCTTTATGAGCATCTGGGTGCTCCCAATCATCACTCCTGAGCTCACTGAAGTGGGGGCTCCCTGGTCTCCATGCCTTCACATGTTAACAGTCAGCTCTGAGATCCTCTGCTTATATGGCCCAACATGGGAGGGGAGGTGGAGCTTGGTCCTGTTCCTTTCTCCTCCTTAGTCATCACTCTCTAAGGGACCATTCCATACTGAAGATTTAAAATATTATTTACATCACATCACCTCCCAGATCTATTTCCAGCTCAGACATTTCACCAGTGCTCTAGACTTGTTTGTCCAATTGCCACCATCACTGCATTTCCAATAAATCTCAGCTTCAACTTTCCTAAATTGAATAGGATGCCATTTCCTCAGATATGGCTCTTCTGGGGGCTTCCCCATGTCACTGAGGTTCCACCGCTCTGCCTACACAGTCTGAAATACTGGGTGTCATCTTTGACCCCTTTCTTACAATTACCCAGCCGTAGGAAACACTGTAAAGTCCATTTCTAAATATACAGAGATCCAATCACTTCCTAGTGTTTTCCTGTTCACCTCCCCTTCCCCCAACAAATCCACCAACCTGTCTGTCCTGGAGCCTGCGCTAGTTTCTGACATTTATCTTTCCACCTCTCACCCTTGGATTCTGCAGAGCAGCCAGACAGTCTTCTAAAGAGAAGTCCCACATCTCTGTTCAGAAAGGTCTTGTCAACGCACATTTTACTCAGAAAGTTAAGCCCTCTCAACATCCTGAAGGCCTGAATGATCTGGGTGCACACAGAACTCATCTCAGTAGCCCTCTGCTCCAGCCAGCCAGGCAGCCTCCTTGCTCATCTCAGCCACACAGACTCATTCCTGCCTCATACATCTGCACTGGAGTTTGTCCTGCCTGGACAGAACTTCCCTGGACATCCTTGTGGGCAACATGTCCATCAAACTTTTTCTCAAAGGTCACCTTAGTGAGACCCACACTGACCATGCTGGGAAGACAGCCATCCTGTCCCCACACACTGACTCTGGGTCATCTTCCTTCACCCCTTACCCACTTGTAGCCAGACATGTCCCTTATTTACTGTCACAGTCTCCAGTGTCCCCTTCCCACTAGGACACATTCTCACCAGGCCAGCAAGTTGGGCCTATTTTTAGTTCATTGAGTTTTCCTAGATGCAAAAATAGCCTGTCACTCACATGCCACACACAACAATTATCAGTTCATGAATGATCAGTGTAGAGCACCTCCCTGTTTTAGAGACAGTAGCTTTACTAAAGTGGCCTCAGGCCACATGCTACACACACCTCCACTCACAGTGACTGCAGTGCCCCCTACCTCCCGCTGCTGTCCCAAGTGCTGCACCCTCCCCCACCAACCCTCCTGCACACCCCAGCACATGAGCACATTTATCACTTCAGAAAAGAGGGTCCTAAGTTTATGGGTACCATTTTTCAGCCACTGTGAATGTTCCTATGATGCTATTTTATCAAACCCTGGGTTCGGATCAAAGCAGCAGTGGGAATGCTACACTTCAGGGCAGGTCTAGAGGGAGAAGCTACAGGAAAAACCAGAAATGCAACATGAGCTTGTCTAAGATGAGAAACTATCTAATCTTATCCTCCAGAATTTGGTCTTTTAAAAAGATGTGGAAAAGAAGGCCTCCCTGGTGGAGCAAGGTATTAAAGACAACACTATCAAGCTTTCAACAGCCACTGTAAGCACGAGTTCGATCCGGCCAGGACAGTGTTCTAGAATCCGGCCAGGGAGCTGACCCACATGGCACAGCAGACCTCTCCTGCCTTGCCTGCTGCGCCCCTCAGCAGTGTGTTTCAGTAGATCTACCTGTTCTGCTCCCTGCTCTCTCTGGTGAATCTTCTCACTCCCCTGCACCTCTGGCTTACACCCCAGTTCTTGTATGCATAAATAAATCTTTAAAGAAAAAGATCTGGAAAAGACAGAAATAATCCAGAAAACAGTCCTGAAATGAGGCCCAAAACCAATGAGTCTGGAAATCAGTCTCTAACACCAGACACTACTGTGAGCAGGGGCCGCCCTGAGCTTTGTGGGGACAATGACAGATGCCTTTGGTGCTGTCAGAGACAGGGACACCCAGAGGACATGACGCCTGGTGTCTAAACATGAAAATGAACAGGCATGAAGCAATAAAAACCAAAGAAGCAAAGTATAAACATGCAAATTGTGAAGACTGAGGGCCCAGCCCTGATATGAGCTTAGGCTGATCCGGTGATGCATGTTCCTGGAGACAGGACAGGCCCAGGTCTGGTCTGAGTCCCTGTGATCACAGGTCCTGCTGGGACAGGTGCTACTGAAGGACAAGGACAAAGGAGCAGAGAGGTGACCAGTTGAACAGTGACCACAGAAAGCCCACAATGCACTGAGCACTGACTGGACACAGGTCCCATCCCCCTCAGCTCCTCACAGTCTCTCCTGCCCCTACCTGCACAGACTCAGCACAATAAACATGGATTCTAGAACCGATTTACTAAGAACGTTTTTTAGTAACCCATCAAACCAACATGACAAGATTAGAAAAAAAATAATTTCAGACCTGGATTATTATTTCATCAGGGAAGTAGATGTTATTCTTCAGGAAAAACACAAAGATGGGTAGAGAAAGCCTAGGCCGCCTCTGCTGGAGCAGGAAAGTCATCAGGGAGAGACACAGGTGAGTGTAGGGAGGGGCCTAGTGGGCAGGGCCAGGCCAATCTCCCTACCTCCTCACATTATGCTTATGTGACCCCAGATACATGAGGATGCCCTCTGCAGCAAGAGAGACTGGAGGGATCTTGAAGTCACAAAGTGGGGGTGAGAAGGCCCCACAAGGCAGCTGTCTCACACTGTGAAGGAAAATAATCAGGAACAAAGTCAGGGAATCATGTAAGTGTCGACATTCTCTATAGTCCACGCATCCTCAGCATGTCCCCCTCACAACTTCCCCATAACCTGGTCCCATCTTCTCAGTCCCAGCCCCTCCCACTGCAGGCCTCCAGGGTCTCACCTTTAGCAGCTGTGACATCAGAGTTCTGGGCACTGTCGCTGCCTGGGGGAGAACAAAACAGAACTTGGTCAGAACCACAGAGATGAGACCACAGGAGGATTGATGTGGGTGACTCCCCCAGGGGCTCCACCTACACTGTCCCCTGGGGCTCAGGGATCCAACCCCTGATCCACACTTACCTGCATACTGAGTGTAGCTTCCTCCTTTTCACCTTTGGGAAGAAACAGCATGTGAGACCAGAGATGAGTCAGGCCATGAAGTCCTAAAGGAAACCCTGAATCCTGGATCATAGGGAAGTTTCCAGAACTGTGACTGAAGACTAAGGGCAGGACCAGGAGATATGAAGAAAGGAGTCTGCCAATCGCAGGCGTCAGGTCCCATCAACAAAATTATGAAGGTGAACAATTTGTGATTTACTTTCCCAAGTGTTTTACAAAGGAGAGCGGGTGTAGCAATCAGCTTCACACTGGGCAACACATACATACATGGATGGTATTTTCCACTAACCAGGCAGGGAAAATTCTCCCGGGGACTTGAAAGCCTCCAGTGGAAAAGATCCCCCACTCCCTTCCCCACCTGAACTTCTTCCTCCACATCACAGCTGCAGCCACAGCAGCTCCCGTGAGCACAGCTCCAAGGAGAACCAGGTCAGCAATGATGCCAATGGTGGGGACAGAGGACTGAGGAGATGCATAGGGAAGGGAAGGTGAGACTGTAAACCCAGGTCTCCAACCTGACTCTTTGAAGGTCTCCAGAAGGGCTCTTGATTCCCCTCTGCAGAGCCTCTGTGCCCACGTCCCCATCTCAGGACTCGAGGCTCCAGCAGCCCCTCATGCTGCATATGGCAGGTGTATCTCTGCTCCTCTCCAGAAAGTACCACCACAGCCGCCCACTTCTGGAAGGTTCCATCCCCCCAGGCCTGGTCTCCACCAGCTCCGTGACATGAGTCAAGTGAGCCAGTGGGGAGGTAGGAGGCCTCGCAGTACCTCTTATCTGCTGCGCACTGCAGCTTCTTTCCATTCTCCAGGTGTCTGCGCAGCTACTCCACATACGTGCCCTCCAGGTAGTTCCTCCGGTGATCTGCCTCTCCGGCCGCCTCCCACTTGCGCCCGGTGATCTGAGCAGCCGTGTCCGCCGCGGTCCAGGAGCGCAGGTCCCCGCTCAGGGCCAGGTAATCGGCGCCGTCGTAGGCGACCTGATGGTACCCGCGGAGGAGGCGCCCGTCGGGCCCCACGTCGCAGCCGTACATCCACTGGACGGTGTGAGAGCCACCCCACGATCACCGCCCCCCCCTCCCCCCCGAAACCGAACCTGAAACCGCAGGAAAGAAAGTCCCGCGGGCTCTTTCTGGGTCAAGGGTCTGGGCGGATCCACCAGACTTAGCAAGACACAAGGAAGGACCCCGAGTCTGGGGTGGGGTCGTGGGCGCCCCGGGCCCGCCCCGCTCACCGGCCGCGCTCTGGTTGTAGCAGCCGCGCAGGACGCGCAGGTTCTCCGGGAGAAGCCGTGCGTTGTCCTTCGCGCTCCGCGTCTCCCCCTCCCAGTACTCCGGCCCCTCCTGCTCCACCCTGGCCGCCCGCGGCTCCATCCTCGGCCCCGGGGAGTCGCTGTCGAACCGCACGAACTGCGCGTCGTCCACGGAGCCCACCGAGATGAAGCGGGGCTCCCCGGGGCCGGGCCGGGACATCGCGGTGGAGAAATACCTCAGGGAGTGGGGGCCTGGGGGCGGGAGGGGAGACCCGGGCTGGGGAGACGGGGCGGGAGGGGAGGGGGCGAAGGGGGTCCTGAGAGAATTAAGGGGCGGCGGGACGAGAAGGGCCGGGAATCAGGGGGCCAGAGGAGGCAGGGGCTAGAGGGACAGGGAGGGGCCCAGGGACCTCAATGGGGTTACTGGCGGCTGATCGCGCCTTTCCCCGAGTCCTGCGCCGGGGCCGGGACCTCCTTCCCCTCCCTCCAGAGCTACGGTTTCCCTCCAGCGCCCCACTCACCCGCCCGGGTGTCCTTCAGGATCAGGGTCCCCAGGAGCAGCAGCAGGAGGAGTGGGGGCTTCGTGATCCTCATCTACGGGTCTGGGAGACTCTGAGTCTAGCGGGTTGGTGGGAGCCCGGAGATGCGCATTGGGCTGCTCTGGAAACACACACACACACACACACACACACACACACACACACACACACACACACACACGACCCACCCAACCCCCGGCCATGGGGAGCGAGAACTGGGCTTAAATCTCCAGTGTCCGGGAAGGAGACCCCCACACAAGTTGTGAGAGGAAGATGGGGAACCCCCAACTGTAACCTTCTGGCCCCAGACATAGCCCTGGGCTCGGAGACCCCGAGAGCCACACCCTGGGGCTCTGCCCGCCCCTCCTCTCCTGCTTCATCACCCTGTCACGCGGGCTCCAGAGTCCAGGCCCAGGGACTGAATCACCAATTCTCAAACATTTTCATTTCAGGATGGCTGTAGTCCTACACATTAGCAAGGACCCCAGTATAAGTTTATAAGGTTATATTGTAGCTATCAATATTTACCACACAAGGAATAAAAACATTTTAAAGATTTTTATATCATTTAGAATAATATTAATAACCCACTGCAGGTTAACAAAATGTTTTAAAGAAAAATGGTTACATCTGAAAATAATCAGGTTAATGAAAGAGTGTAAAATTTTACATTTTATATTTTTGCAAGTGTCTTGTCTGTCTCATGAGAAGAACATTGGATTGTCATATTTCCTTTTGCATTTAGTCTGTTGTTTTGATTGGTCAATGAAAAAATATTTGGTCCGGCAGAAATACGTAGGAATAGCTATTTAATACCCTTTTCAGATAATTGTTAGCATTCAACTTTGTTACTGATTGAGGGTAGCAAGGGGCACTAAAAGTGGCCAAAGACATTGCCCAAATAGATTTAAAAAAATTTTTTTAAAAGATTTATTTATTCAAGTACTGGGTACAGTCAGAAGTGCCGGAGGGTGAGAGAATTCACCAGAGCCAGAGCAGGGAACAGAACAGGCAGACTGACAAAATACACTGCTGAGGGGAGCAGCGGGTGTGGCAGGAGAGGTCTGTGGCGCCATGTAGGAACCTCGCCATCGGCCAGGGATTGAACCCGCGTTGCTGAGGCCTCGCACCCCAGTGCACAACCGCTTTGCCACCAGGGGAGGCCCAGCCCAAATAGATTATCAGTCACTGAGTTCTTCACCCATGAGCACAATTGCAAGACTACTCAGGTTCAGAGAACAACCATGATGGGATTTATTTAACAAGCCAGGGGAAAACAGAGTTACTAAGGCCAAAAATGACCATTTGTCTCACCTGAAGCAGTATCTAGTGTTTTAAAGTCCTAAACACAAACACTCCAAAGGTGGCCTCTTCCCGCCACTGTCGACCTGGAGCTGGCAGGCAGACTATATATAGACCAGGTTTCAACTCAGGCAACAGGAGATGCTCCCTGGAGCTACTGAGATGCCCCAAAGTGGCACCAGATAAGAGGCACTCAAAACAGCAGCAGCAGCTGCAGCTGCAGCGGCCAATGACCCTCACAGCTTGGTGAGGCACCTGCTTCAGGACTTTGCCTTCTCTGCCGGGAACAGAATCACTGAAGATGTGAAAGCGCAGAATCCCAAATGCTGAATGCTGGGGGCTGCCACTGCAGTCCCTTATATTTCTTATCAGAGTCTCCACCCCAAATGTGATACTTTGTTCCCATTTTCCCTAGGCTACCCTTCCTCACCAGCAACCCCCCTTCAGGGTGCAACATCTGTAACAGTGTTTGTCTTCAACCACTGGTTACATTACCACTTTTATAAAAATGGAAACTATACCTGCAGTAGTTATTCAAATATTATTTGCAATGTAAAATCTGAAATATGATCATTGAATATTTTCTATTCTGTTACATTAATTACATAGGCCTCTCGTACATATTAATGGATCTTCAATAAGATATGAATTTTAAAAATAATGCATTGCTTCACTACGTTATATATGATCACTAGTGTTAATTTTTCTAGAATCAAACTTTAAAAATCATACTTGTTTTATGTTTCAAAGATTCCAAAAGAAAAGTTAGTGGAAGTTGTCAAGTTTATAGTAATTTTCCAACATCTGGTTTTCCCCCAGAGTTTGCATGTTATAAGACAATTAATTACTCTCAGTGGCCAACTGTTAGTAGATTTTCTTTTTTCTTTCTTTCTTTTTTTTTTTAAAGATTTATTTATTTATACAAGCACTGGGCACAGTCAGAAGCGCGGGTGGGTGAGAGAACTCACCAGAGCCAGAGCCGGGAACAGAGCAGGCAGAAGGACCGAAGTATACTGCTGAGGGGAGCAGTGGGCGGCAGGAGAGGTCTGCTCACCATGTGGGACCCTTGCCTGGCAGCTAGGATCGGGAATGGGATGGAAGAACAGGCGCTGCAGAGGCCAAGGACAGCCCCGCAGTCCAGCGCCCAACCGCTGCGCCAAGGGAGGGGGGGAGGCCCAGTAGATTTTCTTAAAGGGACTGACATGTTCATTTCCTAGAAAGTGTGTACAAGTTCACCAGATGTACATAACAGTGTTTTATTTTTTGTCATCCATTCCTTCAAGTAAAGATGCATCCTTAAAAGAAAAAATAGTCTCACCTCATACAAATTAGTTTCCTTGGGACATGGTACTTTGGATTGTGGCAGAAATGACTTACAGGGCCTCCCAGGTGGTGCAGTGCAGCGGTTGAGCACTGGACTGTGAAGCTCCCCGCAGCCTCTGCAGCACGGGTTCAATCCTAGCCACCGGTGAGGGCCCCACATGGTGCACAGACCTCTCCTGCCATACTGGCTGCTCCCCTCAGCAGTGTATTTCATCAGTCTGCCTGTTCTGTTCCCCACTCTGGCTCTGGTGAATTCTCCCACCCTCCCACGCTTCTGACTGTACCCACTGCTTGTATAAATAAATAAATAAATATTAAAAAAAAATCCAACTGCTATCAACTCAAAAAAAAAAAAAAAAAAAAAAGAAGTGACTTACATGTGCTCTATGTCATCAGAAACTGGGTTTACATTGTGTCCAGATTCTTTCTCTCAGGCTTGAGGAGATGCTCCCTGCTTTCCTGAGCCTCCCTGCCCAGGGCCCCACAGCTCTTCATCCTGGGCAGGGTGGTCTCTGTCCACGTCCTGCTCCCTCCCTTTTGCTCCCCCCTGTGCAGCCCTTCTCCTCTGGGCGCAGATGCTGGACCTGCCTGGGGAAGGTTGACAGTGATGTGTCATCACCAAAGTTATGGCCTCATTCCAGTCAATATTTGCTGTTTCTTATTGTTAACAACAGCTGACAGTGTTTTTACTCTTTCTTAGTCCGAAAATGCTTTCCTCCTCTGGTGACTGAGAGGTATTCTCAGTTTTGTTTAAATGATGGTCCATTTTTTTTAGATTTATTTATTTATTTATGCATACAAGAACTGGGGTATAGGCCAGAGGTGTGGGGAAGGGGAGTGAGAGGATTCACCAGAGATAGAACGTGGAACAGAACAGCAGATCTACTGAAATACACTGCTGAGGGGATCAGCGGGAGAGACAGGAGAGGTCTGCTGTGCCATCTGGGTAGCTCCCTGGCGGCCGAGAATCAAACTTGCGTTGCAGAGGCTGTGGATAGCTTCATGCGCTGTGCTTAACCCCTTGCACCACCAGGGTGGCCCTGATGGTCCGTTTCTGATGATGAAATTAAATCATCAGAAATTAAATGTGATCTGAAAAAAAGAATGCAGACATGCACACTGAGATCATCAAAATTATAATATTATTACGTTGGGAAGATGAGGTTGGGTAAAAGAAGAGCCAAATCACTAAAGATGAGAAATAAAGTAAAAAACCAAAGAATTAGAATGAGATTTGCAGGCACAGATGTAACAATTAGTGAATCAGTTAAAAGAAATAAAACAGCTTGTCACTGAGATTCAGGGAAGTGGAGACCATGGAAGATGGAGACCTAACAAGTCTTGTAGAGGTGTGGACTTTTAAAACTATGTGCATATGTTTACTTGCAAAAAATAAAATGACAGTCCAGTAGGTGAGAGAAGGGACTCACTGAGGATCTGCTACTTGAGGAGTGTCATTGACACAGGGCAGTAGAGGAGGAAGACATGGGTTCCAGTGGTAGATTTTATGGGAGGGATTCATGTTAGATTTAATTGTCTATATATTTTTTGACTGGAGATATGACAGCAGCTGTGTGTGGAGGAAAGGATGAACCACAAGTGAGAGGGAATTTGATGACTCAGGGGACAGAGGTGTCTGATCCTGTCCCAAGCTGAGGGGTGACCTTAGACAGGAGGGGACCTTCTACTATCACCGGGGTGAGGGCAGAGTATCCAGGTGCAGGTGTGGGGGTGATGGTGCTGTTCTCACCTGAGTGCTTCATACTTCATGAATGAAAAAAGAAATCGGGGCCTCCCCGGTGGCGCAGCGGTTGAGCACTGGGTTGCGAAGCTGCCCGCGGCCTCTGCGACGCCGGTTCGATCCCCGGCTGCTCCCCGGCCACCGGAGGAGGGTCCCACATGTCGCGCAGACCTCTCCTGCCGCCCACTGCTCCCCTCAGCAGTGTACTTCGGTCCTTCTGCCTGCTCTGCTCCCCGCTCTGGCTCTAGGGAATTCTCTCACCCTCCTGCGCTTCTGACTGTACCGTACCCAGTGCATGTATAAACAAACAAACAAATAAATAAATAAAACATGCCGCTATTAAAAAAAAAAGAAAAGAAAAGAAAAAAGAAATCAGCTCATCAACTTAGACTGGAGAGTGGGGAGGAGGGCTGAGTAGGGGGAGGAGGTGAGAAATAGCCCTCTCAGGAGGGGTGAGAGTGAGCTGAACAGGGAAAGGGCATCTGGAGGTTGCAGGGCTGAGGCCACTGGGCTCTGTGCTTGAGAGAGAGAGAGAGAGAGAGATCGCCACACTCAGGCAGCAGAGGATATGCAATAGACTAGGAGAAATGCAACCAGTGTGTGGATTATTTTCACTTTATCATTTGTAACATTTTCTATTTTGATAGGTTACGACCCAGATGTGGCTCATGCTCTTCAGCTCACAAGGG